AGTCTAACAGTCTCAAACCGTACTACAGGAGAGAAGACTTGGTCATAATCAAGACCTTCAATTTGTGAGAACCCTTTGACAACAAGGCGTGCCTTCTTATGACCATCAGATTTGATGTCGAAGACCCAGCGGTTCTTAATGACCTTTCGGTCTGCTGGACGATCCATGAGTTCAAAAGTACCACGCCGTTTGAGCGCTTTAAGCTCTTCTTGGCAGGCCTTAAGCCATTCCTCACGCTCAGCCTTAGGTAGGCGAGTAATGTCCTTGTAAGTCCATTCACGGACGTTCTCAGAGCTTTTCAGCTCCCCCTCAAAGGGAATGGCCTTAGCCATGAGAAAATATATTAATTCAGCTCCCCCTTCCCGACATAGTCTGATCAGGGTATTAGCTTCATCACCGGGAGTGACAGAGGGTTGTTCTCCATTTTCAGGAGTAGGATGCTCAGTACTAGGTCCGGGAACCTGTTCTGGCTCAGGGCGTTCTTGCTCAGCCGAGGCGCTACCTGGCTGTGGAGCTTTTGCGCGTCTCTGAATATCCCTCTTTGGTCTCTCTACCTGTTGTTCCGTAGGAAGCTTAGTGCTGCTTCTAGGATCACCGGTAAGACGAGTAGGTGGTCTCCGCGCACGACCTGAACGTCTCAACTGTTCTTCAGCAGGAGGTTGTTCATTCCGGGGTTGTGGCGGCAGACTAGGATCTCGTGCTGGCTGTTCAGCTGGCACAGGCGGTGCAACGTCTTGCTCCGGATCCTGTCTCCTTTGGGGAGTAGTAGGTTGATGAAAGATGGGAACATCATCATCACCAGGTGGAGGAATAGGATCTTTAGGATCTAGGTTGCGATCTGGTAGTCGCGTAGAGCGATGACGCTCTGAGGTTTTACAACGAGGAAATAATTTCTCGTCAAACACTGCGTGCGTAGCAGTGAACATTGCATTGTTCGACCGCATGTAGATATTTCCGTGTCCACCATCTGAAACTCCGAGATATGTCATTAGTTCTGACCTGGGCGATTGTTTGTTTACCCGTACTTCTTCATGAAGAAAGACGTACGCGCCACAGCCAAAGACACGCAAGTGATCTATGCGCGGAACTTTGTTGTACAAAATCTCATACGGTGTCTTCCATTTGTGACGACGCATAGGAGTGCAGTTATACACATGCACAGCGTGTGCAACAGAGAATTCCCACCAGGAATCAGGAATACAGGCTTGAAAGCGCTGTGGTTCACTTTTCTCAATAATAGTCCGGATAAACCTTTCGGCTCTTCCATTCTGCTGGTGGATATGAGGAGATGACCATTGTGCTTTGATACCTTCGTTCTTAAAGAACTCATCAAGTGCATTGGATCTAAATTCTCCGCCACCATCAGACATCCATTCCTTGACGTTAGTCTCGTATAGATTTTTGACTGTGGCAATGAATTGCTTTATCACCGGAAGAGCTCCGCTCTTCTTTTTTAAGTGGCAGTAGAACCCATGCGAAGTATAGTCATCTATGAAGAAGATCGTATACTTGTACTTGTGGTACGAAATGGTAGGCCATTCTTTGAGATCTGAGTGAATAATCTCGAAGGGACATGATGCCCGACGATTAGTTGGCGGAAATGGACGTAAAGTCATCTTTCCCTTGGCACAACCTTCACATAGATCTTCCTCATGGGGAATGCTAAAGGTGGGAACACCTTCTGCATGTTTCCTCAGTTGAGTGAGTGCTTCGCGCGATGGATGACCCATGCGACGATGCATGGTAGTGTAGTCCACTGAGTGGATCACTAGGTTTACAGCCATAGGCTGTGGCGAATAATCTTTGAGAATGTAGATTGTATCGCTGTGGGTTCGTGGTTCAAATGACAGGAATAAACCGTCTTTGTCCCAGAAGTCAACTTTGTCTGCGTTGCCGCGAACAGTTTTGCCATCTTGTAGGAAGTGTCCTTGTGCTATAAGGCGATGACTCAACTCCTTCATATAGAATACTGGAGCGATTCGTGCCGAATGCATGTGACCTCTAACATCCTTGAAATTTATCAAGACAGTCCCAACGCCAGTAATGTAGGCAGTTGTGGTTGCAGTTGCTATGAGCACTTTTTCCTCAAGGTCTTCATACTCAATGAAGTCACTCAAGTCAAAGGTAGTGTGTTCAGAACAACCAGAGTCGTTCATCCACCATTTAGGCTGATTTCTCTGTTTACCCTTACACTTCTTGCACACAGAGTATGAAACGTCATGTACGCAAAAATGTTCATTGGATATATACTTGGCATTGATACGGTAATTATACAAACGGGACAAGAGATCAGGCTCAAAGGCCGACTTGCATGTCTTCGCCACTGCAACCGATGAAGGTGTGTTAGTATATCCCATATGGTCAAGATCAGAGGAGGGTACTGACCCCATGGTGTCCATGAATCCAGTGATTGCCAAAATTTCACGATCCAAGTCGAAGTTCATCAACTCATCAGGGTCGAAAGAGGCAGTTCCTGGGACCTCAAAGTCCATAGGAGGAGATGGAGGAGGCGGCGTAGGAGCCTTACTGCCATTCTCAACATCATCCACAGGAGACATTGCACGAGTGCGCTTTGTCGGGGGATCAAGTTCATCATCACTGTCCAACTCCGAAATATGCCCAGCTGGCTCAAGGGTGCGAATGACTTCGGCAGTCGCACGGACGCCAATGTCACGGGCACGTTTGATGGCCATCCTTGTCTTCTTATGAAGATGAAGGGACGTAGCATTAGGAGGAGGGTTGTAAGGAGGATGGATGGAGTGCTTGCGCACATCTTGAACAGAAGGAGTAAGATCAGTACGTACCGGACCAAAGTCAACAGTACTGCCAATCGGACTGAAGTCCATAGAGTCTGCATCAGCTTGGGCAGCGTTTGCATTCTTCTTAGCCTTCTTGTTCTTTCCACTGCCACGCTTACGCTTCTTCTTGTTGTCATCGTTCCCATTCTGTCCCTTCTGCTGCTGGTGACTATTGTTACCATGCTGCTGTTGGGAGAACTTGGGATCGTTTCCCTTGCGATGAACATTCGAAAACTTGTTCGCGTTCTGCGGTTGGGAGTTGCCAATGGTGTCTCCGCTGAAAGCGTTCATAACTGCGATACGAACTTTAGCAAAGGTCAATTTCTTGAGCTCTGCAGTCTCAAGCTGGGACATGGTTTGGACAACGACAGAATAACGTGATGGAAGCTTAGATAGAAGAATCAGAGCTTCGAGGTGGTCAGCAAGACCAATGTCAGCTTCCTCCATACGCGTGAAGTGCATGCCAATCTCCATCATAGAGGACAGTGGATTTTGCTTGTATGGAATTTTGACAGCCATGGCGGCAGCAAAGTCATTAAAGACTGCACCTAGACTCTTGACATTGTAAGTCTTGGCTAGATATTTCCAAAGCTGTTTAGCTGTGTCACTCTCATCCTTAGAAAGGATGCGGATTGACGGAGAAAGGCGGAGGCGGATGTTGCCAATAGCCTTGGTGTCAATCTCCTTCCAGGCTTTGAAAGCAACCTTATAGTTCTTCCAGGCTTCAACACTGGCGGCGTTTGCTGCAACAAGTGGAGATGGTTCACTGGGTTTGTCAGTAGTAATTGCTGAATCAAGCCCTGTAGCCTGAAGGAAGGCTTCCATTTCAGAGGCCCAGGTGTCGTAGTTATCACCTTTGAGGGTGGTGGTAACAGCGGTGAAGAGTGCAGAAGACATTGCGATCTGGATAAAATCAACAGAAAATGTCAGCATGCAATTCATAAACGCTCAAGACAACAGATGGAAAAATGGCATGAATGTTATTGCCAGTAGTGACAAGCTGCGACATATGTCTAGCAAGCTGTCATCTACAGTGTCAAGCACTCTTGGGCGATGTCATAATCAGCACTGTTAAGTGCGATATTGACTTCAGCACCAGAGGCGACGTTCCAGGTAAAGGTCTGTGTCAGAGACAGCAATCAAATAGATGCGTCAATGACAACAGTAGACCAGAGAGCGCTGCGAGCTTAGAGCTCAGCAAAGCGTTCATCCGGGGCCCATAACCTGTTGAGCAGGCAAGGAGTGCGTAGTGGGAACACTCTCCAGTACCATACCTGGTAGTAGAGCTTAGTGTCTCAGTGAGGCAATAAAAGTAAGAGAGAAGCGAGTTGGATTCCAGTACAGGATATAGCCTGTTTATATACATAACTGTATGACAGTATTACATAAGGAAGTACTGAGGAATCCGCATATAGTAAATAACTAGATATGACTACATATGACATATTATAACACATGATCATAATAGTGGCATGTGAACAGCATAGCCGCGTTCAACATCCATGGGATAAGTTTGGCGTTGATGATAATAATAAGTACAAGGGGAGGTCAAGCCGGATCAGATTGATTTTCCTGTATTGTCATAATACCTGGACATTGTTATATAGACATACATATGTAGTACTGAAGTGTACTCCGCCCAGAAAAGCAACAATATCATTAAAGTATGCGCACCATTCAGAATTAAACTATACAACGTAAGAAAACAAACTACACACACTAACTCCAAATCGGTTCACACTGTTACTACAATAAGACACCTATACATCATACAGCTTCTCCGAAAGATATTATTCACCACACCTTATACTAAAATGAACAGCAATGAATTGATTACATACGAATGAATAGTGCAAAATGATCTCACAAAACATGACCATTTGAATCCGACAAGGACCTCCTCTTTCAGAGTCGGTGATGCTGTATTCACATCTTTCACCGAACCTGTGATAATTTCTCATCAAATTTCCTCTAAGGTTCTGGCCATGGGATAGGCTACAGCAATATCATGCCCGTGATACCTTATGACGGGTTGAACCAGGGTTGAACTGCCTTTCTTGCCTCAACAGCTTTCCCCACTTCAATTTCAAGAGATCGCTGATGTTTCTCCTCAACAATTATTTTGTTAAAGCAGTGTTTGTTCTGTTATTAAATCGACAGACAGATTCAAAATCGAGTTTTTTCGTCCTGTGAAATTCTACTATGCGGCTTCTCCCTGCACCTATCTGCAGGCTCTACACGCCATCTTATAATTTCATACTCACTGGTTGCTCTGTCGAAGTTCTCATCGTCGATGTTCATGCTTCAGTGGAACTTTCGCAACGGTTTTCCAACCCCACAGGGTACACCCTCAATGCGACGTATGCGTTTGGATTAATGGCAGGCGCTGCGATGTGTGGATTCGAGATGGTCAGGAAGGATGGGACACGAGTCGAGGGTCGTGTCCGAAGTAAGGAAGAGGCGGACAAAGAGTTTCGCCAAGCCAAGCGGGAAGGTAAAACCGCTGCCCTTGGTCGGGAGGAAACGCATGATGGTAAATATATATATGTATCCTTACTATCTGAATGTACGGTGTTGATTCCCTTCAAGTCTTTTCCATCAGCGTCGGGAACATTCAGCCATTCGAAACAGTCACTATCAATCTTCGGTTTATTCAAGCTCTCACTGACGACGAAAACCATGATGAAGTCAAGTTTATCTTTCCTCGTACATATGCTCAACGATACGGGGTTGCACCTACCGTGCCTTCTGCTGCTCGTGAAACTGAAACAGCAATCCAGCCTTTTGATATGAAAGTTGCCGTGCAGCAGGCTGGTCTTATCAAGAGTATCTCCTGCCCTTCAGGTCACCCCATTTCTTTCAAGATAAAATCTGCAGAAGCTACGTCGGCAGAAGTCACCTTGAAAGATACCAGCGGCTTCCTCACGCAGGATGTCATACTCGTTGTCTCCGCGGCCAATCTGGATAACCCGCGTTGCTTCATTGAGGCATATCCTTCGTCACCTAAACACAACACGACAGCCATGGCGTTGACTTTTGTACCACGGTTCGAGGTCCCCGACGTGTCGCAGGGTATGGAATATATTTTCATGATTGACCGTAGTGGGAGTATGTACGGGAGGAACATTCAACTCGTAAAAGATGCGTTAGTGGTACTACTGCGCAGCCTCCCCACCAAGGACACTACGTTCAATTTGGTTTCGTTCGGTTCTCGTGCGACTACGCTTTGGCGTCACAGTAGGGAATATACCCAATCAACGGTAGATGAAGCTACTAATCATGTCGAGTACGTGATGCTTTCGACCTCTTCTTGCTCGCCGCACTGATGGATTCGGTTAGCTCCTTGCAAGCAGATTACGGCGGAACAGAGATCCCCACCGCCTTACGAACCGTGTTTACCTCCCTCCAAAAACCTCTTCGTAAACCTGTTGCGGTTTTCCTCTTGACGGACGGCAGCTCCTGGGACATCTCTGCATGTGTCTCTGTTATTACCGATGCACTTCGCGATCTGCCCGGACCACTACCACAGTCTGATGATCCGAATGCTCAATCGTTCATCAGGGTTTTTACACTGGGTATTGGTGCCGGTGCGTCGTCGGATATGTGTGAGAGTATTGCTAGGGCTGGTGAAGGAGTAGCGGTGTATGCACAGGAGGGGGAAGAGATGGTAGGCAAGTGTGCTAGACTCGTGAGTGCCGCGCGGACACCGCCGATCAGCATCGAAGTTGAATGGATGGGAGTGAGAGAGTCTGACGAGACCAGCGAGTACCAGAAGGAACCAGACAAGATTGCGTCTGTGGGCCATGAGAATGACACATCTGCAGAGAAAGATAAAGATACAGAAGATGATGACGATGCAAAGACTTTGAGGAACGAACCTTCATCTTCATCTTCATCATCTCCAGTCAATCTCTTCAATCCGTTCATCACCAATCTCTCCAGAGAAACTGGTCCTTCTACAAAAGCAAAACTCAATCCTAAACTTCCACCTCCTCCTACAATACAACAAGCTCCCCTCGTAGTGCCAACGATCTTTCCCGGAACACGAACATGCATCTATGCGATCATCAAGAGCGGTTCCGCCTCGTTTCTCAATCTCAAGCACAGCGACGATCCTCTCCCAACATATGTCAAGGTGTGGGGTACCGTAAAGGTTACTGGAAGACGGGTTGAATTGAAGGTTCCAATTACCAGGCTTCTGCAGCCTCAGCCTTCCCAATCTTCCCCATCTTCCACATCTTCGAAATTATATTCCAGTTTATCCTCGTTATTGACTTCACCCCCTCCCCTCACTAAACCAAAACCTTTTCTTCACATCCTCGCAGCCAAAGCTCTCATCACCGACCGCCAAGAAGGAAAGCACGCGTTCCCTTCCTCTATCGCAGAATCCAACTCCTTCAAACTCGACGCTGAAGTCAGACGGTCATACATCAAGAAAGACATCATTCGACTTGGTACGACGTATAGACTTACAAGCGAACATACGAGTTTCATCGCTGTAGACGATAGAGAGCACATGGTTTCGGTTTCGCAGAATTATCATGCACGGGAGCGGTCTTCTACGCAGAACTCTGCTCGCACTTCATATCAATATCTCACTGGGAGCTTCACAGACTCTTACGACCCGATGACTGAAGATATATCATCACATCCTGATGAGTATCCGTATATCCAGGAAGAGTATGGGACTCGAGGAGGTTCATCTCATTACAACCCAAATACTGGGATTATGCATCCGCCATCACCACAGCTTGGATCTGATCATTCACCTGTGACGAGCAGTTCACTTCCTCCAACTCCTGCTTCAAAGAATAAACTACAAGGGTGGTTCGGCAAGCGGCAATCTGTGGACGGGATAAGAAGGCCAAATATGAAGGCCGGTGCCTCGTTCTTCAAGCGTATGTCACTTTCTATATCCATGCCTTCGAATACTTCGGATATCAGTAATTCGGAAACCACCTCCAAGACTGCGACACCAACGTTTTCCCCGCTCGTTTTGAGAACTGTTGTTGCACCGTCTGGCCAAAATTCTTCAACCACCACTACTCCCTCGACGACAGTAGACACGTCGTTGATGTCATCTGGAGAACGATTAGCTTCAATCGCACGTCTGCAACGCTTCGACGGAGGGTTTGCCTGGAGCACAACTATTTTTTCGGTGCTTCAACTTAGTTTCAATGATCTTGATAACATGAAGAGGCAGCTAAGTGAACAAAATATCACTGCCGATATTGCTGCGACGGTGCTTGCATGGGTGTGGTTAGAGAGAAATGGAGGGTATGAGGCGACCGAAATGGCGAAGAAGGCAGGAGAATGGGTAGGAATTCAACTTGGTACACAGGAGAACGAAGAATTAAAGAATAAGGTGTTGGCTGTTATACCATTATCTTGATGACGTTGGTGTCTCGCTCAGCCTCGAAGAATAATTCCAATATGCATCCTACAAAGTTAAATCAAAGCGCAGGAGATGTGATTACAACAAACAACAGTCATGCAGGTAGTATACAAATGTCAGAAGGAAAGCTTGAAACCAGGCAAAGATGTACACAGTAAGTAGATGCTGTCAACCTCTATTCCTTACTACCCATGGGTGCACCATGACTTCGTTAAGCGGGAGACGCTCTGACGGTTCCAACTTTAACAACTGAAATAGAATAGTGAGAGATTAGTCAAAAAAAAAAGACAGCAGCATGCAAACCTTGCTAATTAGATCTCTAGCATCGGCGTCGAAATTCGCGGGAAACTTGTAATCGGCAGTAGCAATCCGCTTCATAGTGTCTGCCTCAATCTGTCAGAAATGAGATACCATTAGCATTGAGGATCCACCTACTTTTGCGGCTCTTAAGGTCCTCGAATGGTGGACTCCCGTTCAGAAACTCATACATCAAAACGCCGAGCGCCCAAAAGTCTACCCATTTTCCGTGTTCTTTATCAAGAACCATCTCCGGGGGTAGATAATCCAATGTACCACACTTAGTCATGCGCCTGTTTCCTGGAGCGTGCACACTCCAACCGAAATCGGCTATCTTCAGTTCGCCATTGAGACCTAGCAGAAGGTTTTCTGGTTTTATGTCTCGATGAATGACGTGCTTTGAATGGAGATACGACAAGGCGTCGGCCATCTGGTAAACATAATTGGCACTGCGTCGCGGTGAAAATGAACCTTGCTTAATCAGCTGTCTGTACATCTCGCCTTGGCCAGCAAATTCAAGCATGAGGAAAACACGCTGTGAATCATGGAAGTAGCCGTACAGGCGTAAAACATTTGGATGTCGAAGGTTCATCTGTATCTCGATTTCGCGCCGAAGTTGTCGTTCACAGCCATCCTTGACAAGCTGGGCTTTGTAGAGGGTTTTCAAGGCGAGGATATATTGCGGTGGCGCTTTCGTTCGGACCATGTACACTCGACCAAATTGTCCTTTGCCCAGTGGTCGACCAATGTCAAAGGCATGTAGAGACCACGTGGCTGTAGGGTTCGACCTAAATTCGATTAAATGTCGGATGATTCTTCAATGTCAAGCAGCGCTCACAGTTTACTCGAGTCAAGAGCAAGGTCTGGAGCCTCGTCCACGGAAACGTGGGCTACATTATCTGCCTCTAATCCTCCGTCATATCTCCCAATGTCAATCGTTTTTGACCCATCAACCGAACCAGTCTTTGTGTGTTTGGATTTCGGCTGTAAGCTTGACTGAGAAGCAGTTGTATGTACAGATTTTTGGCTCTGAGTCTTCAACGAAGATACACTCGCTTTGGATCGTAGGTTCGAACTAGAAGCCGATGGTTTGAGTTTTGTCGGTGGATTAGGCGCAGCATATTTAGTAAGAAGCTTCGAGATGTCAGCAGCGGGCTCCTGTTTTCTTGATATGTCCAGCGAGGAGAGCTGCTGAGTTAGCGTAGTTACAGAGGCCATGACTCGTGGGGAAATAGAAGAGCGTTGAGGTTCAGGTTAGACGCGGGCCGTCGAGGACCAGAGAACACGTGAGCGTATCTTTCTTATTGCCGAACCTTTAGGTAAGGCTCTTTACAAAAATGTCTCGTAGAATGTATGTTGGCCCTTGTCCCACCTCCCACGCCCATATATAGGCAACAGTTACTATATATATCAATATGGGATACACTGTATGAATGAGGTCATTGCTGAACCTTTAGGTAATTCCAAATTCCAGCTATGTACTTCAAATCATGATCCTCAGAAAAATGACATGGAGCACAGTAGTCTGGAAGTCTCTTATCTACTATACTAACCTAGATTAAGTAAAATGCCAAAAAAAACCCACAATTTAGGAAATATTCTAAAAAAATTACTGATTTCTGAGTCTTGCACAAAACAGAGCAAATCAGTCAGCCTGAGCTGGAGGCCATGATCATCTGCAAAACATGTATTTTTGGCTAACCATTCGAGAGCAGCTGAGAGCGCTTCCCAGCATTGAAAGCACCAAAAGCAAGTCCAGCCAGTACCCTTGCTCTGGTGAACATACAGGTTTTGCAGATAGGTTGTGGATGGATTATCCAGCTGATTCTCCTGCAAGTAGACTTGGCATAATGTTTGAACTTATAGCTATTCCCTTGAATCCCCATACTCACTGTAAGGGTAAGCTTTCAAATGCTCTGCTGAAGCCTGATTTCTTATTTTTAGGAGGTGCACTAGTTTATTTAAATGGTGGTTGGCCACCACTTTCATAAAGTGTTCGGCACCTGCCACTTGTGGCCTTTCCCCCAGTCATTAATAATTACATGGCAAATTTGCAATTACACATCCCCTCTATGGATATCGTTCGTTGAGTATATACTGTACATTTCTCCTTTGCTAGTAGAACAACACTGGGGGATAGTGGCACAGATAAGATTCTAAGACGACCTGCCCAACAAACTCTATGTGTTGTAAGTGGAGGCAGAAACGGACCCGCCACGACCGGTCCAATTAACATCTGAAATGAAAACGTAAGTATATTAATACTATAGGTACTGAAGGATACGCACGAATATCTTCACCCTTCTTGAACTTCGCGTTCTCTTTGCCAGGCAGAACACGGAAGGTGTGGGCACCAAAGTAGTCCCGCTATAATACACAATCAACTCTTGCTCAGACTCGAAATTCTCAGAACGCACCTGAGCCTGAAGAAGGTTGGCAGGAACAATGTCACTCCTGTAACCGTCGAAGAAGGCAAGAGCAGTGCTAAATGCAGGCGTAGGAATACCCCAGAGGACCGCCTGGGCAATCACACGTCTCCATCCAGGCTGGGCCTTGTGGACCGCTGTTGCAAATGATTCAGGTTGGGATAAACAAACCAAGCAGAAAATTACCACTAACCCTTGTTGAAGAAGTCATCGAACAGAAGAGACTCAAGTTTGAGATTGTTGTTGTATGCTTTGGTGATGTCACTCAAGAACACACTCTGAAAAAAAAAGAGTCAATGTACCGATAACTATATTGAATGGTACTAGATTTACTTTGATGATACATCCACCACGCCACATAGAGGCAATTCCGGCATAGTTGAGATTCCATCCAAGCTATGAATGGGGGATGAGAGATAGACACAAGGAAGAAAAATCAACTTACGTCGCTTGCGGTCTGCCGCATTAACATGAACCCTTGGGTATAGGAGATGATCTTAGATGCGTAAAGAGCCTGCTCCAGGTCATCGATGAACATCTGCTTGTCACCGCGGAATGGCTCCTTTTGGGGACCGGCGATGACTTTGCTAGCACGAGTACGCTCTTCCTTGAGGGCAGACAAAGTACGAGCGAAAACAGCCTCGCCAATGAGAGTGACTATTGCAAATGGATAAGAAAGACGATACGCTACTGAATGGAGAAACAAACCAGGTGATCCAGCATCGAGAGCAGCTATGGCAGTCCACTTGCCAGTACCCTTCTGACCAGCCTTATCCAAGATCTTGGCGACAACCGGCTCGCCATCGTCATCCTTGAACTTGAGTATGTCTGCGGTGATTTCGATCAAGAAAGAATCAAGAACACCCTTGTTCCACTTCAGGAAAATGTCGGCAATTTCGTCCTCACTTAATCCCAAACCGCGCTTGAGAATATCGTATGCCTCAGCAATAAGCTGCATGTCACCGTATTCAATACCTGATAAGTTTTAGGTTAGTCAGATAGTCATGATTAGGTAGAGAGCATATATACTCGCCGTTGTGAACCATCTTGACGTAATGTCCAGCACCAGTCTCACCAACCCAATCACAGCAAGGTTCACCGTATGCTTGAGCAGCGGTCTTCTGGAAAATCTCTTTGATATGTGGCCAAGCAGCTGGGGAACCACCGGGCATGAGGGAAGGACCATGGCGTGCGCCCTCCTCACCACCGGAAACACCAGAACCAACAAAAAGGAGGCCCTTAGCCTCCAATTCTTTCGTGCGGCGGATGGAATCCGGATAATGAGAATTACCACCATCGATAACAATGTCGCCCTTCTCAAGGTGAGGTATGAGCTGAGCAATAAAGTCGTCTACAGCCTGTCCGGCTTTGACGAGGAGAATGATTTTGCGGGGTGTTTTAAGTTTCGAGCAAAGCTCCTGAATGGAGTGAGCACCCTGGATTTTGGTGCCTATACAGACATCATTCAAGGTTATGCGTATATGAGTGATTGCAAGCGCTAACCTTTCGCTTCGTTAGCCAGGAAACGGTCAACCTTCTCAGTAGTACGATTGTATGCAACAACGGTGAATCCCTTGTCGTTCATATTAAGGATCAGATTTTGACCCTACGAAGAGCGACTTAATGGAATATATGGGTGACGACGACGAGTAACAAACCATAACGGCCAAACCAATAAGACCAATGTCGCCGCTACAGGGAGCGATGAGTAAGATAACATTGGAGATGATACAAGATAGCGCTCACGTTGCCATGTTTGCTTTACAGTAGAGTCAAAAATGAAGATGGTAGTACGGAGTAAAGATGGGGGGAAACGTCGACGATCTTTTCTGCTCATCGATGCTCGGGCCGGCCGCGGGTAGCTGATTCATCGATAGAGAAAGACGTAAGCAAAGTTACTCTTTCTCCTTTCTCCTGGAGGTACCCTCCCTTGTGTAAGTAAAAGCATTACTTTCCAGTGAAAACCCGGTAACCCAGGGTGTCCGTGTGAGATGCCTTGGACAGAATAATTTCGGGTATGTATTTCCTCCGGTGAGGCACGGCTGTACTCCCGGCCCGTCTCCGATTAGACCTAACCCTAAGCCGCCGTTGTTCAACGCGAACGGTGGAGGGGCCGCAACTGGACAGTGGAAAGCATTCTGTCTACATCTCTCATGGGCGACACTCACCAACCGGCCTACGCAGTCGCTCGAACATCCCTCACTCTTATTTCCGGCTTGCTCAGTGGGCCAATACTTCAAGAAGGATGGATACTAAAGAAACGAAGGAAAAAGATGCAAGGTATGGGTATTAGTTCTTCCCAAGCTACTCTTTCTGACTTGTTCCCCAGGATTTGCTCGTAGATATTTTATGCTTGATCAATCTGGCATTCTTTGCTACTCCTTTGAGCCCGGACAACCTATCCGAGATCAAATACATCTCCCAAATGCAGCTATTTCCACTGCTTCAGGGCGAAAGGATATTCACATTGATTCTGACAGAGCGACTTTTCACTTGAAGTGCCTGAGTACGGAGGATTTTACCCAGTGGATGGGAGCATTTAGGTGATACTGCAGAGTCTTGCTCTCCCATTCTTCTGACAAGTCAAAATCCAGGAAATTCTCAGCACATGCGCCAGAATCTTATAGATCTGCAAGTATCAGAGCGTCGTCTCGTCAGAGCATCGTGAGGTTGAATAGATCTGCTGTGATAGCAGAAGAAATGGGCACAGTATGTATATCCTGCCGTTCGTAGTCGCACTCTCAAACACACGTCGTGATGTTTTAACAGACGCTACTTGAACTAGAGGATGCATTTGCTAATCTACGTAACACTGTGAAACGAACAGCCAGTGGAAGTAGAGACAAATCGAAGGAGAGTGCATCCGTGTTCGGTTTATTCAAGAAAGGCTCGTATGATGTTGATACTTCCTCACTTCTGTATGAAACTTATTAATAGACAGGCCATCATCATGGAACCCACGAATCTCACAACGACGTGCCTCGACCTGAAGTCATTGATCCTACATCATATCAACGAATTCATGTGGCGCTAGAATCTCTCAAAGTACAACACGGAACGCTACTCAAATCCTTACAAAGTATCTCCATTCTCGAAACGACACAATCTTCGCATCCATCCGCGCAAGTGTCCCCACTTCCACGTACAACGGAAGAAGAGGAAAGAGGAGAATCTTCACCAGACAGCGCCTCAGAAAGAAAAATTACATCTTCTATCATACGACGCTCAAAACGAACGTCTGTTGCCACAACCATAACTGACAGTCTTAATGAATGGTTCGATGCCTCGGAGGGCGAAGGTGTTCAAGAATTTGTTCTAGATGAACAGACCTCACCGGATAATGGAGAAATGCCCAGTCGTATTACAACGACCGATAGTCAAAGTTCCCTGGATCACGCCGAAGAATCTAGCATAGACACTGATATAGAAGACGTGGGAGGAGAACCATCGGTTTTGGATCAGGTCGCGCGCACTTCACAAGCTCAGGTTGTTCGGAGGACTCATCTTCCGGCACCGATAACAGGGGATGAGGGAAGTTTGTTTGCTGTGTTGAAGAAGAATGTTGGAAAGGTATAACTGTATTGGCACAATGTTCCCAGACATTTCTCACAGCCATACACGACCTAGGATCTATCCACAATTGCATTTCCGGTCTCGTTCAACGAGCCTCTTACTCTTCTACAACGGGCTGCTGAGGAACTAGAGCACTTTGATTTGCTCAATCGAGCAGCGGCCACATCTGACCCCGTAGAACGAATGCAATTTGTTGCTGCGTTTGCAGTCTCGGGTTACGCGCATACCAGATACCGAACGGGTAGGAAAGGCTTGTACGTGGGCTTCATTTTCCACACTTCTGTAAACATTTCTCAGTCGCTCCTAAGTAACCCCATGCTCGCGGAAACTTTCGAAGACTCGCGGATGAAATTTATTGCGGAGAAGGTGCGACACAATCCCGTTGAATTAGCCTATCACGCCGAAGGAGACAATTGGGAAGTCTATGCCACCTCCTCTGGAAAAACCAAGTTCTGGGGTACGCAAGAAGTAATACTTGAGTGTTTACCGAATATTTGCCGACTGATTACTTTTCAACAGGAAAAAGTCTGGAGATTATTCCTCTAGGGACGACACACCTCAAAATAGGAAATGATCATTATCAATGGTTGGTTCTCTTAACGATGTTGTTGATATCTGATCTGAGCTCTTTCTCGCAGGAAAAGGCCATCTTCCTTCATGAGGAATTTGGTGGTTGGAACCAAATATCTAGAACATGTTGGAAAAATGACCATTGAGAACGTTAACGGTCGGGATCGTTGTGTCATGGAATTCAAACAAAGCGGATACTGGGGTGAAACCAATTTGGTCTCTGGGCACGTCCACGATGCATCAGGGAAAGTTGCTTCACAGTTAGAAGGAAAATGGGATGAACACTTATCTCAGGCGGTTGATGCATCTCATTTCACATTGCTTTGGCGTGCACATCCGTGGCCAAAGCATACCCATGAATATTATGGTTTCACATCGTTCAGTATGACATTGAACGAGATCACACCTGACCTTGCGGAGAAATTACCTGTTACTGATTCGCGTTATCGCCCTGATGTACGAGCATTAGAAGAAGGAGACATAGACCGAGCTGAGGCAGAAAAGGTCCGAGTTGAAGAAATGCAACGATCAAGGAGACGAGAGGGAAAAGAACCTCAGGCGCGATGGTTCAAATTGGAGGGAGACGAATGGGTTTATAATGGAGGATATTGGGAAGCTAGAGCTAGAGGATGGAAAGACGCCAAAATAGATCCGCTTTGGTAATGTACTACCGTTTTAATGCATACCTTACTTATTCCCCCCTCTAATTTACTCTAGAGTATATGAGGCATATGTTCATATCATACATACTTCGAGATTCATAAATCAACGAACTTGGTCGAATAAGATAACTCCTGTACGCCCGAAGTGTATCCAGTTTTAGTTTGTTCTTGAGGATGCTTGGTTGCAAAAACCTCATTAGACCTACCACCACTATCACCTGATCGGTGTACGAGTTGCCTTCTGAACTTGTTCCGCAAAATCTCCGCACTTGAAGACTAAATTCGTGGCAATTCGCCGACAACGAGAGATAAAAGGATGAGAAGCTCATTTATCTCAAAATCCGAAGCTCGATATGCTTTTCCAGCTAGTTGTTGGGAGTCTTGGTGTCCTCGCATGTTCTGTTAAAGCTCAACAATCCGTCTATCAACAATGTGGAGGTATAGGATGGTAAATTTCGACCTAGAATATTTGGAGAAATTTCTGAATCATTCTATCAGGTCGGGGGCTACGACTTGTACGAGCGGGAGCACCTGTACAGTGATTAATCCTTGTACTAGCAGTGTTCCGTTTCTTTCTATATCCACAAATTCAACGGTATTGCTAGATTATTCTCAATGTCTTCCTGGCTCAGCTTCGGCACCTTCAAGCACTTCGACTTCTGCATCTAGCACTTCCACTGCGTCCAGTACTACTTCGACCTCTAGCACAAGTGCTCCTTCTAGTACCTCTCCCGGTAAGCATCTTCGACCGTGATTCCTGTTTCCCATGGCATTCGACCGACTAACGAACGCATAGCGAACCTGTCCCCAGAATGGGCAGCAGCATACACAAAAGTAAACGAATCGGTAAACTGACGTCGGAAATTTGCTAACTTCATAATATCGATCAGGCGCAAGCTGCTGTGCTCAAGCTTTCTTTGGCTGATAAAGTCAGTCTGGGTAGTGGTACGCACCTTTCCAGCACAGCCTATCCGATTATCACTTGATTTCAATGTCTTCCAGGTGTTGGCTGGGAAAAGGGTAACTGTGTTGGAAACACACCCCCGATCTCTTCCATCTCCTTTCCTGGTCTATGTTTAGAAGGTGAACTCGAATTCTGAATGCTTAAATTCACTGCTATGTGCCAATAATCACGAATTTCACAGATAGCCCTTTGGGAGTTCGCGATGCAGATTTTGTCTCGGCATTCCCTCCGTTAGTCTCGTTATCCTTCCACCGGCGGCATTGGTTTACCCCCCAATGACAGTGCTATCAATGTAGCTGCTACGTTCAACCGAACTTTGATGCAACAAAGGGGAGTAGCGATGGGGCAGGAATTTCGCGGAAAAGGTGTAAACGGTGAAACAAAAGTCCATATTCGCCGACCAGACCAGGAACTCATGATACACTAGTCGCCCTCGGACCAATGATGAACCTTATGCGCGCGCCCGCTGCGGGGAGAAATTGGGAAGGGTGGGCACAATGCGTCCCATATCAACGATAAAATTCTGAATTCATCCATACTCTGTAGATTTGGTGGAGATCCATTTTTATCTGGAGAGGGTGCCTACGAAACGATCATGGGTATACAATCTACGGGGGTTCAAGGTTTCTGCATTCTAGTTTCGGAGAAATGTTGGTACTTAAGTAAAGTTTACAGCAACTGCAAAACATTACATCAACAACGAGCAAGAACATTCACGGACAACCAGTAGTTCGGAAGTAGATGATAGGTTTGTACAGTCCCCAGATTATTCCATTCATGGCTGTAACTCACAGCAAAATCCCTCGTTGACATTTTTCTAGAACGGTATGAGTACATCTGTTTCGTATTTCCTTGGTGACACTCATTCGTCAGGAATAGGAGCATGAACTCTACGCAATTCCGGTAGGAGCAGTTTGGCTCAACGTACACAGCTACTACATTGAAATTCAAAACGCCAGTTTTTGCGCAGTGTGCAGGCTAATGTAGCTGCCGTCATGTGCAGCTATAGTACGTTGGAAATCCTGTTTATTTCTGGGGCAAATTACAAGTACTCACTCTTGGCGTCTCCTTAGATCAAAGTGCGTTCACTCTCACCTATCCAGTCAACAATGCCTGACTTTCTCCCCTAGTCAATGGAAGTTTTGCATGCGAAAATGACAAGACACTGAATGGGATTCTCAAGGGCGAGTTGGCGTTCCCGGGATGTACGTACCGATTGTTCGTAGTGTTGGCTGTTACTAACTATAGTCTAGATGTCATGTCAGGTGAAACTCCTACTCTTGGCTGAGGTTTGAATTTATTTCATCGCTAAACACAATCGCAAGTAGATTGGGGAGCGACACACTCTACCGCCCCCGCTGTCAATGCAGGCTTAGACGTAAATCACTGGCTGGCAATCCAGCTTTGGAGTTAAATTAATGAAACATTTCACTTAGATGACCATGCCTGGGGATATGGGAGCCCTTGGAGCTGGAGGAAAGTAAGAGACTTCATGCTGATCTTTTTTTGTGGTAGTATCTTCATCTTCTGTCCTCCAGTTGGTTCGGACAAAATCTCGTAGATGCAGTGAACAACGGGAGTGTCTCTGAGGCCAGAGTCACAGTGAGTTTTCTGTTTCTTTTGAAAAGTCGTTTGATTGGACTCGACTATTCGAAAGGATCTGGCTACCCGCGTTTTAGCTGCATGGTAAGTGCTGAGTCCGATATGAGTAGTCCTTGAGACTCTTCTAACTTTCTCTAGGTATCTTGTCGGTCAAGATTCAGACTACCCCTCTGTAAATTTCGACGCATGGAATTTGAATGCGCCCGTGAATACGCACGTTAACGTGCAGGCCGATCATAAAGAGTAAGCCGTGTGGGATTCACGTCCAATGAGCCCTTCTCACAAAATTCATCTTCATAGTTTGATTCTTGAGATTGACCGAGCGTCCACAGTATTGCTGAAGAACACCGCGGGTGTCCTTCCTCTCAAGAAGCCATCTACACTAGCAATAGTTGGAAATGGCGCTTTCAATAGCTCGAAAGGTCCTAATGGGTAGGCGATCTCCTTTGTCATATAATAATTCTAAATTCAACTATCTATCTTTCGTTGAAACAGCTACAGTGATCGTTCGGGCGATGATGGTGTATTAGCCATGGGTAAGCATCATTTTCTCCGATGGTCGACATGTATTCAATCCAGGCCAACGCATAGGTTGGGGGAGTGGAACAGACAACTTCCCGTACTTAATTGCTGTAAGTTTTCTTTCTCAATGTCATAAAAACTATTCCAACTTTTGTGCTAGCCCATAGACGCCATAACCTCGCGAGCGTCTACTCAGGGGACCGTTGTCTCCTCATCGTCTAGCGATACAGATTTGAATGGTGCTGCTGCTGCTGCAATCAATAAAGATGTTGCCTTGGTCTTCATCACTGGTAATAACAGATCGAACATACTCCAAAGGCGATCGGTTGATGATTGTTTTAGCTGATTCTGGGGAAGGCTATTTGACAGTCGAAGGTTTTTATCCTGTCTCAAACCCCTTTGTTCGCTATCTGGAGGTTGATCGAAAATCGGTTATCCAGGAAATGAGGGTGATCGTAATGATCTTTCAGCATGGCACAGTGGTGATGCACTAGTCTCCCAAGTGGCCAGTGTGAACTCCAACACCGTCGTTGTAGTCAATAGTGTCGGACCTATCATCATGGAAGCATGGATTGATAATGCCAATGGTGTGCACTAATGCTTCGGAATAACTGTCGCCCAACTTTTGATTACACATTGTAGTGACTGCCGTCGTATGGAGTGGTTTACCTGGACAGGAAGCAGGTACCTATTGTGAACATTCTTATTTTGAAAAACTGATATTGATGCATGTTGCAGGAAATGGCGTCACCGACATTTTGTACGGTGATTACAACCCAAGGTACGTGTCTTCTTGTATTAGATCAACCAACCATTCGATGAAGACCTACGTTGTAGCGGACGGCTCCCATTCACCATTGCCAAAGCCACAACCGATTATTCCGCACAGGTAATATACCAGGACGCTCCGGATTCCAACATCCTTCCGATTCCATACAACGAAGGCATTTTTATTGACTATCGTCATTTTGACGCGGCCGATATTGCCCCTCGATTCGAATTCGGTTTCGGGTTATCATACACAAGTTTCGCATATTCAGGTATCAGCGTTTCAGGTTCTACTTCCAGCAGTTCAAGCGCTCCCTCCGGTCCTGGCGCGATATTGAATCCTTGGTAAGATTCGTAGGGCTCAAGGTGCATTTCATACTTATCGCGAGAATCAGGTTTCATGATGCAGTAGTGACAGTGACGTTCACAGTGGATAATAACGGCACTGTTGCTGGAAATGAGGCGAGTTCTTGTCTTTATGAATATCTTAAGCATAATGCTGATTCAGTATACTCAGATTCCACAGCTATACATTACTCTACCTCCCTCTGCGGGAGCTGCACCGATGAACTTGAAAGGCTTTGACAGTGTTTTCCTTGCTCCCGGGGAAAGTACACAGGTCACCATGAGTCTTTCGAGATTTGACTTTTCGGTGTGGGACGTCCCAAGTCAGCAATGGGTTATCCCCTCCGGAACTTCGACAATTTCTATCGGTGCCAGCAGTCGGGATATACGCTTGACACACACCATTACAAATTAAAGAAGTGTAGTTTAGAATTAGTTTGAAATTTCCCACTTTTGAACTATACCCAATGTGTTTACCAAGCTACACTTTTTCTGTCACTCGCGGTTGTGAGAATCAGATCAGGCGTAAACGGGAGAGCAGACAAGCGAAGTCGCTGCGCATTGTGCGCATACCTCAAATGAGGGGAGCGATGAAACAGATACAACGGTGTATGTTACAAGACAACTACATTCCCATCCCATCGTCTTCACGACCCCAACCGCTGACGACGACGTCTTCAGCCTCTTCAACGAGAGAGTCTGGTTCCAGTTCCTCCAAGTCAACTTTTGAAGCCTCTTGTAACGATGTCTCCACAGCTCGGCTATCCGTAGACACTGACCCGATAGGAGAGGATGTTGGCTGACCAGTGAGCCATGCCACCTTGACCGAGCCAACCATAGGAATGCTGGTTCCTTTTGCAAGACCCTAAAACAGGATCAGGATCAGGAGTTGATACTAGATACGAGTTTTTACCTGTTCCGCGGCAGTTCGCGTCCGGAAGGATACGACCATGTCTCCGGTTTCAGTTTGGGTGACGGATTCCATTTGGCCTGTAGTCTACAAGCCCGTCACGAGTCAGTGCCATTTTGATTTATGTAGACTGAAGATCCCACCTCATACCAGTCCCGCAAAGCCTGCTCATTCTCGCTGCTGACACCCTTGACAAGAAGTCTTTTAGGACGATTGTCAAGGGTCATATTGGTCCGTGGTGGGCCTCCACGAGGGCCGCCTCGGAAATACGATCCTCGAGTTCCCCGACCGCGGCCTCTGTAGCCTCGATAGGATGGCCCAGGATGAGTTGAATGTGGATCGTCAGATATACCGAGGCTTGCAGCCTGCGCAAAGATTCAATATTGAAAACGAAGCAACAAATAGGGAGCACTAACCTCCGCCTTTAAGCGTTCGAGTTTGGCTTTCAGATGCTCTGTTGTCTCATCGTCTGCTTTTGCATTGACCTGTACGTCAGTGCTATGCAGCTCAAGCTCCTTGTCTAGCCTTTCCCGTTCCTTTATCTGTTTATCGTCTTTTGAAGGCAAAGGAATCGCTGAAGATGCCTTCATTTCTTCATCCAATTGTTTGAAACGATCCATAATTTTCTTCTTTTCCTCTATTGAGGAAGCACTTATTAAAGAAGTCATGAGTGACTTTTGTTCAGCTATCTGCTTATCCAGCAGTTGTTGCTTTTCAGCAAGCGCCGCTGCAGTGGATGTCACAGAGCTTTTCCGAGGCGGTGCAGTTGTTGGTGTTGGCGACGTAATTTTGTTCGCAGATGTCTTCGCTAATACAGGCGCCGAAGCTGCTAATGCTCGACGACCTGCGTCACCGTGTCCCTCCATAGGTCGATGCCAGAAAACTTTGACAAACCGATTATTGAAGACAGCGTCTTCAGACTTCCACGCGGCGTGTGCTTCTTCATGCGTCGAGAAGCTGATGAGGGCCTTTTGCTGCCCTTGATCGATAGCGACGTTGGTAACAGTCCCGAATCGCTTGAACCAGTCGTTGACTTGTGTCAGACTGAGCTTGTCCTCAGGAATCTTTTCCAATACTAGGGTCTTATCTTTCCGTCTTTCAGGTTGGAAAGTGGCGTGGTCACCGTTGAAGGCACCAGGTTGGCGTCCTCGTCCATTGGCTCTACCTCCGCCACGGCCACCGCGCCAATTACCGATAGGAATGTGCCCAGCAAGTGACATTTCCATGTCAACATCTTGGGGAAAATTCCTGAGTGTGGGTAGGACGTTGGGCATATATGAAGGTTCTGGGTGATTGGGCAATGACTGCAGGGGAGGATTTTGAATAGGGCTGGTGCTCGAATTTGCTGGAGAATGGGTGGAATGGGTGGCGGGATTGGGCGTGACAGCGTTATGAGGTACTTCGGGAGTGAGATCCTGAATGACAGGCAGTTCTCCACTTATAGTTGATTTATGGACGACTCGACTTGCGCCTTCTTCTTGTTGCATGCGAGGTAAAACAGCGGGTCTTGCTTGATTATTTCGACTGCTTCCCATAAGTCTCATATCCATTTGGGCCTCTCTCGGGTCGTAAGCAGCAGCGGGACCGCTTCCCATCCCCAAGCCATTCCCAAGCATCGGCATGAACGGCATCCCACCGTTGATATAAAGCTGGTCAGGAACAAGCGCGTCTTCACCGTGACTAAATTTGCACAAGGCGCCGCGAGAGCAGAATCCGAGATCTTGGGATTTAAAAAAAAGTAAAAATTTCGTTCTGGTGAATTAGTAACTCTGGACACACTGTAATAATCTCTGCATATTCGCTTCTGGTCAGGCGGTTGGTATGCATTTATCGGGCCAATTCCATTGCCACGACCTCTATTTGAATATGCGCTTGCAGATCGAGCATCCGAACCTCCTCCCCCTCGGCCATTGGGATATCTAGAGTGCAGGCCTTCAATCCTGGGCCCTTTTGAGGATGGTCGGCCACCAGGGTCTGGATTTTCCAAACTGCGCTTGCGGCTTCCTTCCGGTGAGGTAGGTGAAGATAGCAATGCATCCAGAGGAATTGGTATACCGGTATCGAGGGATTTAGGCGCTGCAGGAGGTTCGTCTGTATATGGAAGGTAGGATTTGGTCCTTAGAGCAGTAAAAAGCGTATCAATGAATGGTGTGCATTCTACAAGGCAGATTTGAGCAGTGAGAGGAGCAATCAAGTATCTTAAGACGCACCTTTTTCAAGAAATTCATCCAACTGCGATTTCAGGTCATTTTTCATCTCGGGCTCCGGAACATTATGCTTCAATAGTGCCAGTATGTAGTCTGCCAAGGCACCAGGCTCGGCATCGCATCTAGTAGAATTAGCGGACGCAAGATGAGAGTACAATTACAACGACCGTACATTGGTTCGAGGGTTCTGATAAGCCAAGGTTTCAAGTGTGGGGCATTTGATTCTTCAAATATCATCGAGTTAGAGGATTTGGCTGGGGGTACTTATGAGAATCTAAGGTTGCTTCGAACACTGAAAGTGAATAAAATTGGCTAAGCGGTAATGACGGCAATTTCCGAGAATTGATCAGTCACTCTCTATCATGTGATCGGAATAAACGCGGTCGCGTTTCAACTTTCGACACCTTGAATATGACTGGGGGGTAAGGCCGCAAGCGGCGGGTGCCGAACATTTTCAATTACAAACTTACTATTACAAGAAAACAACATAGAGTAAGTAAAAACAAAGATTCCCAGAGAAGTGAAAATGTCCCTTTTGCTTCTGATGCATTCGGTGCAGAGTTTGATCCACTATGAGAAGCATGCCTGTCCCACTTTTTGCTGCCCCCTTCAGCAAATACAACTGGGTGACCAAGCCAGATGTCAGGCAGAGGCATGTTCTGGGATAAACTTGCCCTTGGCAACCATTGGCCATTAGGACAGGAAGTGGAATGATGGTTAATGAAAAATGAAACTCAAGAAATATGAAAATAGTAGCTACATAAGAATTATCAACAGCTGTTATTAGCTGTTGACACTCTACTTAGCCTGTGCTGGAAACCTTGAGTAATACCATGACAAGTCATTTTCTGCAGCCTGTGCTGTTTTTGCAGCCAGGTTCTCAGTTCTCTTTAACTCAGATCGTAGTTCTTCTGAAATGTGATTTCTAATTTTGTTGATACTAAATGGCCGTAAGATACAGAGACCTTTCAATGAACGGACACGAGAAAGCATCACATATGCACTTTGGATTGAGCGGCAACTAGCAAAGTCTATGCAGGCTACATTCATTGAACGGCCCTGGGCATTATGTGATGTAAAGGCAAAAGCAGGAATCAAAGGAAGCTGCTTTCGAGTTGCTGAGTACAATTTCTCAGAATTTGGCAAATGAAATTTGAAACTTTGAGTGATTGGCTTCAGAATGACACGGTTTGGGTGCACTGGATCATTGCTCTTGTATCCAGGAAAATCTACAGTGGCTGACACTGCATAATACCTATCATCATGTATTTCATATGTTAATGAAACCAATGTACCTAGACTACCATTTGACAAACCTAGTTCAGTTGCAATATTTTCAGTTGCAAAGACTGGCATTCCTGGAATATATGGTACCTTACCCCCCAGATCCTGAGCATCTTTCACAGGAATTTTCCATGCAGCTTCAGCTGCAATACCTTTGATGACTTTTTTATTTTTGCCACGTCCACGTGTGTCAGTTGAATGACAAATATGGAATTCTTGACCTGTTACTCTGGCAAATGCTTTTGCTGACTCAAAATTGTGTGCATCTCTTGCTGCATTTGTATAAGTAATTAAAGGACATACATTTTCAGGATTTGTTATCCATTGTGTGATGTCAATGAGGCTCTTTGTCTCATTAGAGCATGCTTCATTACTCAGCACATATTTATCCAGAATATCTTTATCTGCCTGGATACAAGTACCAGTGCGTAATCGGCTGAGAATGTCAATTAACACATTATTTCCTTTTTGACGCATTATTTCTGAGAGAACAACAACTTTATCTATTTGATGCCAAGCTTGTATTCCCTTAACTTCATACTGTGTTTTGTTATTTAATGCATTCAGACGTGTTGATTCATAGCATTTCACAAGTTCATGGTCAAACAAAGGTTTTGCTCTTGGTGGTGGTAGTTGAGCTGGATCACCACAGGTCACAATGTTTAGTTTTCCAAATGGATGCTCAGTTATGCCTTTTGCAATAGAACAATATTCAGAAAGAAGGCTAACATTCTCTGGACTCATGAAGTATATCTCATCCACTACCAATGTACGTATAGGGGCAAACCGCTTTTCTAACTGACTTCGTATTTTTTGTCCACCTGCAGTATCAGCCTTCATTGTTGATCGAGCAACCCGCAATGCAGCCTCTGAATGTATTGTGCAACCACCAATTTGACTTGCCACAACACCTGTAGGAGCTGTGAGCCGGAATTCATCCTTACAATTAATTCCTTCATGAAAATCAGACCATGCAGCAAAAATGCAGGACTTTCCAGTTCCACCTGGACCAGTAACTAGCATTCGCAAAGGATCTAAAGGCTTATCTATAAGTGACTGCTGCCTGTCACGAAGCGGCAGAGGCGGAGTGACTAACGGAGCGGGAAAGCGGAGCGACTAAGCAGAACGGTGAGGCGGAGCAACTGGACAAGGCAACAAGGCGGAGCGACTAAGCAGAACGGCGGCAGGCTGGTCCCAGATAATGACAGAGATATATTGAGTATCGTAGTCATAGGTAATAATAAGTAAGCACATACCTGGTCCCAGATAATGACAGAGAGGTCAAGATAAGGGACCAGGCTGTGGAGGGTTGGCTATATATACATAATCCGGTCTGCGAGAAACAACGATGTAATACTGTACAGTTTAGGAACAAGGAAGGTGGCGGAAGCCAATAGAAGGAGAAGATGGGTCAGGTGGACCAGTAATCGATGGATCAGTAATCGATGGGGGTTTGACAGTGATGGGATGATGTATCGTACAAGTAAAGGCGTCGAGACGGTGAGAAAAGGAAAATGATAGGGGCTGCGTACTTTATGACATTACCCCCCTCCTTATGACCATTGCCCTCGATGGTCAAGGCTTTGCCGCTGTTGGGTGTTTTTTATGAAAGGCCCGAACAATTTTTGGTGCTCGACTGAGGTTGGCTGCGGGTTCCCAAGAGTTGTGCCCTGCGTCGTAACCTTTCCACTTAACCAAATATTCCAACTTCTTCCATCGAACCCGGCTGTCTAAGATCTCCTCTACTTCGTATTCCGGTTCGTCTTCATCCTCTAAGTATACCGGCTCTGGTGGTGTTGGTATTTCGCCATTAATGGAGTTACCTTTCCAGGGGTATAGTTTATCAACATGGAAGACGGGATGGAGGCGATCTAGGGATAGGGGGAGGTCAAGGCGGTAGTCTAAAGGGCCAATTTTCTCCAGAATGCGATAAGGGCCAAGCTGTCGATCTCCTAACTTTTCACTGGAAAGCTGAAGGTTAATGTCCTCTGCACTGAGCCAGACTAGGTCTCCAACTTTAAATTGATGAGCTTTCCGCTTCCCGCGTTCGTATCCCTCCTTCTGTTGTTTCTTTCCTAGGTGTAAGGCAGCTCCGGCATCTTGTCGCGCTTCTCGGAGAATCCGTATACGGTCATCCACAGCTGGAATACCGCTGCGTTGGCCCACTGGGATATTGAACAGGGGAAGATAGCCGTAGGTTAGCTCGAACGGGGACATGCCTAGCGCAGAATGAGTCCGTGAGTTAATCACAAACTCCGCCATGGGAAGGTGCTCTGCCCAGTCGTCTTGTCGTCGTCCTACATAGAGGCGGATGTATTTCTCTACTTCCTGATTTGCTCGTTCGGTTTGGCCATTAGACTGAGGACGGTATCCGGAGGTTAGATCTGATTTAATTCCTAGCCTAGCGAGAAGGGATCGCATGAGTTTAGCTGCAAACTGGGGTCCGCGGTCAGATTTAAAGTGAAGAGGAAGACCATGGAGACGGAAGATCTCTCGGTAGTAAATATCGGCAACGCCTTCGGCTGTGATGGAGCTGGTGCAAGGAATGGCGTGAATTTGTTTTCCATACAGGTCTGTGCAAACCAAGACAGCATCGTAGCCTTGGGAGTTAGGTAGCTGTGTTATCAGGTCAACCCCTACTTCTTCCCATAGACCGGATGGTACATCTAATGGTTGAGTTACGGCCCGTGGGTGTCGCTGGATCTTCTTACGGGCACAAACCTCGCATCCCTCAACGTATTTTTCCACAAAAGAGCGCAACGTAGGCCACCAGAAATGGGTACTGACCAAGTCGAGTGTCCCGTGTAGTCCGGGGTGTCCTGCAGTTGGATGGTCGTGGCATTGACGGAGTACCTCAGTGCGTAGGTCGTCGTTTGCTGGTACGTATACTCGACCTCGGTAGTAGACCAACCCATTGTCTTCTTCCCATTCGGCTATCCCATTGGCCAAGCGCTGTAGTCCGTGCTCTTTGACTGTTTTGAGACCCTCCAATACCTGTGCCTCCCGTTCTGAGGCTTTCCGGATACGATCCTCTAAGGGGTTCTGTAGGATCGAAGCTGCAATTTTTACGAAGTGGCCAGGTTTAAGGACTGTCTGTTGTCGGTTATCATCGCTGTCCGATACATGATGAACTGCCATGCGGGAGAGAGCATCAGCTTGGGTGTTTACTCTGCCAGGGCGGTGGATCATATGAAAGTCAAACCGTGACAGATAGAGGGCCCATCGGGCTTGTCGGCGGGTGAGGTCTTGTGCAGTGCGCCAGAATTCGAGGTTCGAATGGTCCGTAATGATGTCGAATGGTTGAGGGAGTCCTTCTAGAAAGTTCCTCCAATCCTTCAGTGCTTCAATGATAGCAAGCATTTCTCGATCGTAGATTTCGTAGTTCCGTTCCGCTGGCTGCATGGATGCCGATCTGAAGGCTACCGGATGCCATTGGCCATCGTCTTGCTTCTGCATAAGGGCGCCTCCCGTGGCAAAGCCTGATGCGTCTACCTCGATTCGAGTAGGCCTGTCTGGTGTCCATAGAGCAAGGATCGGTGCGGAGATGAAGGCTTCTCGAAGGGTATCAAATGCTTTCTGTCGAGTGTCGGTCCAGGTAAAGCTGGTGTCTTTCTTCGTCAGGTCGTTCAGAGGTCGTGCTATTTTGGCAAAATTCCGGATAAAGCGTCGGTAGAAGTTTGCAAATCCCAAGAACCCTCGTAGTTCCCGAAGGTTAGTAGGGACCGGCCAGTCACGAACAGCCGCTACTTTTACCGGATCCATTCTCACCTCCCCTTCTGAGATGATGAGTCCGAGGTATTCAATCTGTTGTTGTTCAAATTCGCATTTTTCTGGTCGTAGGTAGAGGTCATGCTTTTCTAACCGGGTCAATACTTCCCGTACCATTCGTCGGTGTTCCTCGAGATCGTTACTGAAGATAAGGATGTCATCTAGGTAGACTGCCACCTTGCCGGCTGCAATGAGATCAGCAAATATAGCATTCATAAGTGCTTGGAACGTGGCAGGGGAATTTGTGAGACCAAAGAACATGACCTTAGGCTCGAACAAGCCTCGGGTTGTTGCGAACGCGCCTTTCCATTCATGCCCCTTCTTAATCCGTATGTTATTGTAACCCCAGCGGACATCAAACTTCGTGAAATATCTGGCTCCCTGAAGTCGGCTAATGATGTCAGCAACTAATGGGAGAGGGTATCGGTTCTTCACAG